GTGTGTTGTTTGGTTAATTAGGATGAGGATGGAGGTGCGGAAGAAGATGGATCCGGCTGGTGAGGACTGTGAACATCAACAAGGAAAATGGAAAGGAAAGAAAGAAAGGCTTCGTTGGTTAATGATGTAATTAATGAAAGTAACGGCAAATGAAGGGTGTAACGAAATGTGTAGGAGAAGATGGTGAACCTATTATGGTCCTTTAATTTATCAATTGTCTAATTAAATTTATTTACGTAATATTGACTCTAAAATTAATATTTACTTTTATATTTTTTTATACAAATTTATTACAAAAAGGTACACTTACGGCACAAGTTTAAAAAATTCTTTAAAAATATAGATTAAAAAGTGAGTTTTTAAATAGGTTTTCTAAAAAAAAATTTGAGAGAACAACCTGCACTACATTAACATTATATTTTAAATATTGTTGTAACTTAGTATATATTTAGATGGATTGACATGAAGCGTGGTCAAACATCTAGTATACCCATAATTAAGTTTTCTAATCCTTTTTTCTACTGAGAATGTTATAGTTACAATACTATATAAGATTATAAGTTTACAATTAGGACATAATATTAAATGAGTTTGACATAACTTTAAAGGAGTAAACACATACAATATTATAAATGAATTTATATAAAAAAAGAGAATTAATTATATAATAACATATTATATTATAAATTTATAATATTATGTGATATTATCGTTACATGTTTCTCTTTTTTTAACCTTTGCTTCATATTAAATGATCTTGAAAATCAATTTTATTTTTTCAGCCATCCTCCTCATATTTTTTTAATACATCAGGGAGGTTAACTTTTTGGCATTATAAAAGTATTTTCCTCATATTTAATTCATGTATAGTTTTTTTTTTTTTTTGGTCATTTCAAATTTACAACCGAGCATACCATGTGCCATGAAGGAAAAAAAATTGACCTTTTTTGTAATTTTGGGGGACAAAGCAGGGAGCCCACCCCAAACCAGACTGGTGATGCATGTGCAACGTACCAAATCACGGGCTGTTGGGCTCAATCTTCATGTTAGAAGATTTCAGAAGCTTGCAGCCTATCCCTATGCATGGACCATCATGGACATGAACCAACTGGAGTTTGACTTACTACTCACTGACTCAAAAACAGCTCAACGTGAATGCAGACAGCAAAATAAGTATGGATCCATCAATGGCATCTGTTGCTGTCAATTTTCCAAGATAAAGATAAGATCATCAGACCTAAATATTAATTTGATTAAGCAAAGGGGAAAGGATTGAAAGGGAATTCATTAGTAACATATATAATTTAACTTCAATTAGTATAATTGTAATTGTTGTTTTGTTTTTTATTTTTTTTATTTTTTATATTGATTGCATAACATGAGACAACTTTTTTTTTTTATTTTTTATCCCAAACATTCGCTTATCACTGAAATATTTTATATTTCGTTGGCTTATTTTTTAAGTTTTGACTGTTGAAAAATTAATTAAAAATAAAATGCATCTAAGATTACCCTTTCTAGCCTTAGCATATTTGACTCTTTAATGGTGATAGCTAGGAATTGGTCCTGCGCTTGAGGACCAAAATTTCTTTGAAGAAATTTAATAATTCTGACAAAATTAGTACTAGCAAGCTAGCTCAATCATTCATTCTCTTCAGCCACATTCCTAATTAGCAAGCTAGCTCAATCATTCATTCTCTTCAGCCACATTCATTGCACAAGTTCACCCCCCCCCCCCTGATATTCAGTGCACGAGTTAATGGTCAATAAGAAGGTACATTGTGTAAGTTATTATGTTATGGAAAACCAAACAAAATTTCACAAGATACCAAAACTTTTGCTATTCAATTCATCCGTCCCTCACTTTGTTTCTATCTCCAAGATCATGATAATATAAACATGTACAATTTTATTTATGGTTACACGATATTAAAAAAATGTAAATATACATTTTAATTTATAATAAAAGGATAAAAATACTAAATACATATTCATTTATACATGACATCAAATGAAAATAATTAATTATAATTATTAAATATATAAATATAATGTAAATTTTAATTTTATAAATAAAATTATTTTATTTTTTATTTCGAGTTGGATACTCCCGTGACTGTACTCTGGGGTAAATTTGGGTATTTTACAAAATATATA